AGGAGGAGGAGGAGGAGGAGGAGGAGGCACAGAAGTAGCGTTTGAAATTCAGCACAGGAAAGGCAGCCAACAGTCCACCAGACAGCATGCTTTCTCCCCTGGCTCACAGCACACATGAGGTCCTACTCATTTCTGCCTCCCGGCTAGAAGCATTTACATAGGTGCGCGGCAGCCGAGACGGATGTTCATCTCGTCATCTCATTTACAAAAAAAGTACTACGACTGAATTTTTCTCATGCAGCGACAGTCGCAAGCATTATCATCATCGTTGTCGCTGCTGCAGCAGCTGTAGTAGTAGTAGTAGTAGTAGGTGTAGTCGCAGCGACATCATCACATCAGCTGCGTCCTCTCTCCCTCTCTTAGGTAGTCGGGAGTTGCGCGCCAATCGTGATCTAAAACTGCGTCCTCCCTACAGGCCAGTCGCTGGCCAATCACATGAGCCCACCTAGCGACAACCTCGCCGGTGAGCAATGTTACCTAAATGCTAATGGATAAACCGTGGTCTTGAATTAAACATCAACTTCTGCTGCTGCTGCTACTGTTACTGCAGACTGCCGTCGGCTGCATGTGCAGTGCTACACAGCTGCTTATTTATAATGCAGGCTAATTTTAGACGCAACTTCAGTATGTAAATATAGCAGTTGCGTAAAACCTGCACAGGTTCACTCACCTCCGTTTCTTTAAGTATGTACGCACCTGATTAAATCACGGTCAAAAATAATTGCAGGCAACTAACAGTAACTATACCAGCAATATATGAAGCAAGATGAATATGGTTAGGCATCACAAGTACGTAAATATAGCAGCTGCATAAAAACTACATATCTTCTTGTTTCTGTTCGTGGTTTTGTGCAATCAAGTCTTTTTATGTATACGCGGCGGATTAAATCATTGTCTACAATAATTATTTATTTGTAGGAATGTTTTAATATATCACGGTGAGAAACTTCAACCTACTCAACGTGAATAATTTGTGCAGAATAAATCAAGATAATGAAATTTCAAATTAAAAAATGGCTGGAAAAAACTATCATGACTACCAACCGTGGTCATTATAATATAATTATTTAGATATTCAGCTGAATCGGGAGTTTTTTGATGAAAATACTAAAAATGGATGTCCCACCCGTGAATGCATTTACTGTTGAATGAATTAGTCTGCTTTTATTTTCTTAACGTGCTTTACTTGAAGCAGTTCATTTTTTCAAAGTAAAGGTGTACTTAATTTAACTATGAGAGATAACAATCGTCCGGAAGACGTAATTTTGGAAACGGTGGCGTATTGTGTGAATTTTCGAAACAGGGTCACAAGGTCGTCGGCAGACGGATAGGAAGTTTAAAAAAGAGTTAATTCAAAATGACTGGTATCAGACAGACACGCGAACAGCAACGAGCGGTAAAGGGGCGATGTCAGTTGTCCGAAGTCACCATGCACACACGAGAAACGGGACACCAATTTGTATGGGACGAAACTTGCATTGTTGGCTTGTGTCTATACAAGAAAGGTTACGAATTTTTAGAAGGCATCAATTCCGACGACTCCTGCCTGGACAGGCACGTTGAATTGGACATGATTTACACAAACCTCGGAGAAGCGCGGAAAAGAAGGTAGCTTACTCGGACTAAAGGAAGCAAAAACCAGCTACTACCGACCGCACGATTAAGTGCGGTCAAGCCTTAGTTCCCGACCGACCGCATAATTACATGCGGGTGACAACTATTTTTGCCCACGGACCGCATAACCACATGCGGGTGACGATTATGGACTAGTACCCTGACTCAATATATAAGATTATCTTAGCCACCCTTTTGAATTAAGTGTTTCTTACAATGCCCATCCCCCTGACAATGACCTAGTGAGCTATTGTCGAAAATTCACACAATTAACCACCATTTCCTAATAAACTTCTTCTACCGATTTATACTTTTTGGGATGCCGATTTCCCAATTTATACATAACAAACATTTTTTTAAATAGACTAAAGCTGCCAGAGGATAAAAAGCGTGTATACGCCCAGTGCTAAGAAGCATGGCTTCAACAATGCTTTAGACTTTTCGCTGGAAGCATTCCCACATAGGACAATATATTGTCTTTTCAATAATTATGGGTTGTTCCTTTCCGTACATTACTCTTATATTAAAAGGCAACTTATCTACGATTGAAAAGTCGTGTTGGCAAACAGCTGTTTTCGGTCATTCACTTCAG